TCACCTTACCTCTTTAAGGTACAAAAAAAGAGGCGAGCCCCCGCTCCCTTTTCTTCATTTCCTTCGTTAAACAAACAACAAAAAAAGTTATCCTCCAGCCCTGGCGTGAATGCATGAGAATAGACCTGTTAAAAGAAAAACGTACAGGCTTTGACGTCCTCTTTAGAAGCATTGTTATCCGCCCTTTTCAAGTCTAAAGCACTCGAAAATACCCTTCAGAATCTCTTCTAGTCTCCACTATAGCCCCCCCTTAACTAATTAGGCTTCGTTTTAAAGGTCTACGATTCAAAAATAGGTATACCTTCCAAATTTTAAACAGTAAGCTAGGAAAAGGCAAGCAGTTCCTGAGTTGTCAGAAAATGTTTCGGGAAGATCTGGGACTAAAGTTGAAAGAATGAGGAAAGAAGGGACAAGTACCTAGACGTGGCAGGTAGCAGGTCAATGCTTAGCCTTCAAAGCACGATTTCAGTGTAGCATTTACCGTCAGATTACAGAGGATAAAGAGAGTGGTGAGGACGTAGAGGCTGCTTCGTGAGCAAGTCTCCGAGAGTACCCTGCCTCCATATATTTATAAAGTAGGGTAACCATGCATGTTACCTGGCACATAGTATGTTGAGAGAAAGTAGTCTCATGCACTCCTTCCCTTTTGTTTACACCAGAAACATCTTATTAGTCTGCCTTTGATAACCTTAAATCACAGCTGTCCTCAGAAAATGAGTGGCTCCCTTTAAACCTCTTTGTATGCCATTCAAGGCCCTGACTAACCAGATCTGGAGAAGCTGGACTATCACTAGTATTATAATAAAGGCAGCAGCAAGTGCCAGGAGAATTCAGAGCAGGGAGATAGTTTCTAACTAAGTGGATCTAGAAAATTCTCACAGTAGGTGATTATCCAATCTAGCCTTGGGGAATTAGGAGAATTTCAACAGGTGGAAAACTGAGAAGGGAACATTATACAAGGTGAAAACAGCAAGCCTCAAAACTCATCTATTGAGACTTCCCTAATTCATCCTCCAGCCCCTTCAGTTCCTTCTCTTTCAACTTCCTTCACTTGTCTAGCTTATGAGAAAGCTTCCAGACTCCTTACTTTGTTGGTCTCTTCTTCAGTAAACCTGTTTTCCTAAATCTAGACAATATATTATTAATTTTCCAGTGTCAAATTCAAGATGGAATGAAAGCCCTAATATGTTTAACTACCAAAGGTATTAATATTTAATACTAAATGTAAGCCCTCCTCATGAATCAAACTTTTCATCAAGATAAAGAGGAAATGAAAAAAATGAAGAAAGGAAGGAAAAAGAAAAGAAAAAGAACATAGAAGAGAGGGAAAGAAAAAAATGAAAGAGAAGAATGGAGGAGGGAAGGAAAGAAAGAGTGAAGGAAGGAAAAAAGGGAGAAAAAACTTTCGTAGACCTGGTGCAAACTTTTCTACATTTTTTTTTCAAACTTATTATTTCATTTTTTTAAACTAAAACCTAATTTGAGGTTGCATGGCTTTTTAGATGCTGTAGCCCAGAGAACAATTCTGGTCTCAAAGACAATCTCGAAGATGTAGACGTTCTTTCCTTTTTTCTTGTACAAAAAGGCAAAAATGAAATGTCTCTTTTTAAACTTACTAGATAAATGTCCTTCAACTCCTCAGTCTGACTGCTTACTGGAAATGTTTTATTAATTGCAAATTTATTCCCACATATTGTGATGCAAATAAAAGAATGGAAAATCGGCAGCTGCGTTCATTTAAAATTAGCAGAGGCCCTTGTTCAAGAGATGGCATATTCAGAGTGACCCAAATTATCATGACATGAAGGCCACAGGTCAAATTCAAGGCCAAGTTACAAATCAGTAGAAATTGTCCTTGAGGGAAGCTGTTGCTGTGAACTTGAATTCTTAATTGTTTATCAAGAGGCCATACTTTTCTGCATCCAAAATTTAAGATCTTCTGCAAGATAAAGATGTTAAAATGTGAATGAGTGTTTGTTTTCTTATTTTGAGAATATGGATTATTTCTAACAAATTTAATTAATCATTTAAAAATTTTTAATTATCATATGTTCTTAGTAATATTTTTCTCTAGAAATTTATTTCACAAGTTTGGTTAAATACTGTTTTTTAAGCTTCTATGTGCTTTTTATTCCTAATCATGCTTCATTTTTCTCTCTAGAAAAGAACTTAGTTTTACTTAACCCACATTAATGTTACACTGAAGTTCAATAATCTGCTTGAAATGTTTCATCTTACTCAACGTTTGTGTTGATTAAAAATTAGGGTACAGTATCTCCATCCTGATGCTATTGGGTTTCAGGTTCACTCTTAACTGTCACTGGAGTGAGATGACTTTTGTCTGTCAGGGACTTATGTTTCAGGCGTTTCTCCCATGTTCCTTACGTTACATTTCCAGTAGTACCTGTTACTGCTTGCACCTCCAGGGATCTCTTCCTGACATAACCAATCCTGTACAATTGAACTCTGACTCTAAAATTCTTGTTCTCTGAGTCAGGACAGTTTCTATTTCTCATTTAGTTAACAGTAAACTTACAACATAATTTAAAATAGTGCTTTCTGCTATCTACGACCTTATTCTGAAACTTTTGATGAAGGTAAAGAAAGAAGTGGTGATAGACTAGAAAGTGCACTGGCCAGGTAGGCTAGAAAACTGTTTCTCCTTCCCTCTGTTGCTTTGAGAAATCACTTATCTTGAGTTTTGTCTGAAAAATGAAGAGGTTAGACCAGTGATACTTCAAATTCTCAGCAGCTTAGAAATCTATAGTGCATTTTATTCTGTTAAAGCTTGAATCTTGCACAGGTATTTTCTACAAGTTGTATATCTTTTAGTTCAATATATCTGGGAGCCCCAGGATCTTCTCTGTAGCTTCTTTTTTTTTAATATTATTTATTTATTATTTAATTTTTTTTTTATTTTGGTGGGGAGGTAATTAGGTTTATTTATTTTTAGAGAAGGTTCTGGGGATTGAACCCAGGACCTCATGCATGCTAAGCATGTGCTCTACCACTTGAGCTATACCCTTACCCCCTCTGTAGCTTCTTTTGCCCTCTGTGGGGAGACCCACCAGTAGGCCTTGAGCCCCACTGGCTTCAAGACTGATGATGTCTGAAGACAGGGATTTAAGACCCTGGTCCAGTTCTGTTGATGGCACCTTAGTCTACCCTGCTGCCAGTTGGGCCCTGAGCTTTTGCTCTGGTTCAGGAAATGGAACACAGTGTCTTACTCACAACAGTGTCTGCAGCTTAAGCCACAGAGGTGCTCCCTAAATGCTGAGAGAAGG